TTTTGATGGGAAAAGGAATTTCAGCTTCTGACAGAATTTATTATTATTATTTTTTTGGCAATGGAAATAAATTTCATAATCAATTATAAAAAAAAATTCACTTTAATGGACAATTTTCATGTAAAACGAAGTCAAACGAACACTAAACTTTGATGAAAAATAGTTTTCGAGCCATAAATTTTTTTTTTTTTTAATTTTTTGGTAATGGTAACAAATTTCATAACCAATTGTAAAAAAAATATTCACTTTAATGGACAATTTTCATGTAAAATAAAGCCAAACATGAACAAAAAATTCAAATTTTCAAATTTTTCCGGATGAAAAATTTTACCAATCAAACACACTTAATTAACAATTTCATGGAAAATAATTTCTAAACAATTACTTTCTTTGGAATTCATTTTCTTTCCACCGATTTTTCCCTCTTACAATCAAACGGACCCTAAATAACCTCGACTAACTATGCCTAACACCTAAATCCATTGCTAAATTTGTTGATTAAACACAAAGGCTCGTTGATGCCGATCATATCTAAAAAAAAAAATTTCTACTTTTTAACCATAGTTTCTCTAAAAATCACTATTCCAACGTTCATTTTTTCCCAAAAAAATAAAAAATGTATTTTGATGATTGTCAAACGGCGACTTAGTTTCAAATGTCACCGTTTGGTGATTCTATCACGTGTCGTCTTCAAAAGAGATGAAAATTGTTTAATTAACAGTTATACTGTAAAACAATTTTTTGTGTAATCTTTACGAGGTATGACGACTAATTCACCTTAGGGAAGTGATTGATAAAAAACATGCATTTTATTATTTTGATCTAAAGATGTTGATAGAAACCTCATTTTATCACTTTTCTTTCTAGTGTACTATGTAATTTGAAATAAAATTGAAGTTTAGTTATCCAATTGAAATAAACTAAATTTTAATAATCTAATTGAAATTTACTAAAAGTTCAGTTCCGCAACTGAAGATATGTGTTTTCTATACAATATGCATATTTATTGCGTATTACTCAGTGACAAAATGTGCATTGAATCGCTGACGAAATATGCATTAAATCACTGAGGATGGATCTCTTTAATGGATATTACACAATGAAAATAGTCAAAGTTGTGAACAAAATGAAAACGTCAGGATGTGTGCAGCATGCATATTTATTGAAAATTGAATCTGGGTTTTCATTTTCTTGCAGAGAACAGGTAATTTTCAAGATTTGTGCACTTGTGCCGTTAAAATCTTTATTTTCTTCTTTACATTGTGCAGTTTGATTAGGGGAGGAGCCACCATGATTAATCTTGAATCAACTGGAGTCCCAAGTTCAAGCAGGCTTGAGGTTCTTGTCAATCTTTTTCTTCTGTTTAATCTTTCGAAGAAAAACAGAAATTCTTACATGAGAATTAACTTTAATTTTCAAAAAAAAAAAAAATTTCTATAAATCAATATCAGGGAAAATGCAAGGCAATGGTGGTTTGTTGGGTTCTTGGTCTGGGGTCCCTTCTCTCATGGAACAGTATGCTGACAATAGGGGATTACTACTATAATTTGTTCCCAGTAAGCTACTTAATATCCATCTTTTTGCAGCTTAGAATAATGCATAACCACAAATTTTGTTATTATTTGTTAAATTAATTCATTATTTTTTCTCATCTCAATTCTGTATTGTCTCTGTTTAAGGGCTAAAACTAGTTTTTTTTTTTTCCCCACAAATTCCTCAATTTGAATTGTTCACAGTAAAAGCCACTCCTTAAGAAGCAAAATGGCCCAAGTGGTTGTCTGATGTGGTTCTATGGCGGGCTTGCAAATAGACTGATTTTATGTGTGGTTGATAAAAATCCGTGATCGGTGGAACTTTAAATGTTGATTACATGACCGTTTGATAATCGAATAACAGCAATAGTTTTTTGGGACTCTTTGTTAAAGAGCCTAGTCAAACAATGTATTTGGACAAAGAGGATTATGTCAATGTTTGTTGGTAAAATGGCCTCCATTANGGTTATTTGGCCAAATTTCCCTAGTTTTTTCCCAATCATAAGGGAAAAACAATGAAAATAGTTCAGCAATATATAATTGTGTTCAATGAAAATTCTCCCACTTTTTGAGCAAGTACCTAAGTTATAACTGAGTACAATTTAACTAGTGTTTGAAGCAACAGCTGAAAATAGTGTTGTAAATTCTTTTCTAGCGTAGTATTTCAATGTTAAATGCTTATTTCATCAAATTTGAAGCATCGTCATCTTTTTTCTACATATGTCTCAGTGTAATGTTCATGTCATCAAATGTGAAGCATTCATCATCTTTATCTACCTGTGTAGAGTTACCATCCTGCACGTGTGCTCACCCTGGTTTATCAACCATTTGCACTTGGAACAATGGCAATTCTCGCATACAACGAGGCAAAGATTGATACGAGAAAACGGAACTTGATGGGTTATATTATTTACTTCCTAAGCACTTTGGGACTCCTTGTTGTAAGTTCCACTCTAAACAATTTTGCACCACAATTTCATTTACTTTTCCCATTGATAATAACTTTTCTCGTTGCAGTTGGACCTAGGCACATCAGGAAAAGGGGGAATCAGAAATTATATTGGCATTTGTGTATTTGTTGGTGCTTTTGGAGTAGCAGATGCCTATGTGCGGGGTGGCATGGTCGGAGATCTATCCTTCATGCATCCTGAATTTGTCCAAGTAAGTTTTTTGACTATAATTTTATCGGTGTGTAGTTCACTTTTTAACATTTAGGTTATTCTAATCAGATCACTAGACTTATCATCACTATTACTTGAGCTTGCAGTCATTCTTTGCTGGTTTGGCTGCATCTGGGGCTCTCACTTCTGGCTTGCGTATAATGACAAAAGCAGCTTTCGATAAGTCCAGCAATGGCCTTCGTAAAGGAGTTTGTAAGTACTTCTCATACTACACAATAATCTTCCTAAATTTTACAAATGTGGAAATTATATATTTGAGTTTAGAAATCAAGCCCCGTGGTGGTATACAAATTTATCTGCAAAAGCATTTATTTCACTCGGATTTATCAAATGAGAACAAGATTGTTTTGATCTTTTGTCTTCAGATGATAATTGTATTTATCTATAATGTTTTTGCAGTGCTGTTTCTTGCTATCGCAACATTCTTCGAATTTCTATGTATATTCTTATATGCGTTTGTCTTCACCAAGCTACCAATTGTGAAGTACTACCGCACAAAAGCAGCTTCAGAAGGATCAAAAACGGTTTCTGCTGACCTAGTTGCTGCTGGCATCCATTCCGAAGAAACTGCAAGTGTAAGAAAATTTTCTTTAATAAGAAAAGTTCATTTCTCAAAGCATTGTTTGTTTCAGACTTTGAGATCAACTTTCATTGTCAATACAGGGCGACATTGCTAAACACGAGCGGCTGAACAACAAGCAGCTTTTATTTCAGAATCTTGATTATGCATTGGACCTCTACCTTATATGTGTTCTCACTTTGTTTATTTTTCCTGGGTTCGTGTTTGAAAACACTGGATCCCACCAGTTAGGTTCTTGGTAAGTGCTCTTATCATAGAATGCATAGATACTTACTCACGAGAACTCGATTCTTTTAATTTCTTATAGATATTGTGATATTCTAATGGTAATTATATGCATGTGAAGGTATCAAGTTGTCCTGATAGCAATGTACAACGTGTTTGATCTCATCGGACGATACACTCCTCTTGTAGAAAGTATCAAATTAGAATCCCGAAAGGGTCTATTGATAGCATCGCTATCGCGTTTCCTACTTATTCCCGCGTTCTACTTCACCGCAAAGTACAGTGATCAAGGATATATTATACTGCTCGTATCCTTATTGGGACTAACAAATGGCCACCTTACTGTCTGCGTCCTCACAGCAGCTCCTAAAGGTTACAAGGTAAGTTTAAAACACAATTCACAAACAAAAAAGGTAATTTTAATTACATTCTTACATTCATGGACATAATATGTATTTGTAGGCACCGGAGCAGAATGCATTGGGTAATCTGCTAGTACTGTTTCTTCTTGGCGGCATTTTTTCTGGTGTTGCTCTACTGACCAACACCTAATAACCATTACAGAAGTTTTAAGGGGGCATCATTGTGTTTACTAGATAAAAGATTTTTGCTGTATGTTAAAGTTATAAATTGTATTTATCATATTGTCAAGTTCAATCCGACTCTTATATGTATGTATTTATTCAGTTTTCGATATGGGGATCACCTCGCCTCGCCTCAATTCATTTGATGAAATTCCAACAAAGAAAAACAGATGAGGCATCGTCTTGACCAAGTTAACCAGTAGAAAATAAAAGCACCGCAGTGTTGAAAAATGATAACAGAGAGATATAACATCCACTAATGAGAAAATTGTCGTAAACTAAATGAGACAAAAAAAGGAAGAAGAGTACCACAAATACAGGAGGATAGATCTCAACATAGAACTAAAATGTAAGAATTCGTATCAAAATTATTTCTGCAACTTTAATACTGTAATGAAACCACCTTATTCTTGGAGCACCTTGATCTTGGAGCTAGTCATATTCTCATTGTCTGCTTCTCCTTTGCTCATATTCATTTTGTTGAAGATATGGAAAGAATA